TGTCTGCTTCATCTCTGTGCTGCATTTTAATTAATCAGCATGCCTGCTGTATTTCAATGAAACTCATTACAGTGAGGTGGTTCCGGCAAATTCTCCCTGGCAGGGCCTGTGGTGTTTGCCGAGCCGTCTCACACCAGACAGAGGTGCTATTTATGGCGAGTGGGGCCGCGGAGTCGAACGCGTAGCTTATAGGAGGCGTAACGTGTGATTAGCGTGTTCTGTGTTTGCTCTGAATGCACCGAGGCGGCTCGTTGCTCCTCCGCCGTCAGAGAAGCGCCGTTTATCCCCGAGTGCTAATTAGGAAATTGGCAGGAGCGAAGCAGTGGGCGTGCAATGGTGTCAGCTAGCCCCACGCACCAGAGAGCACGCCGCCCGCGTCAACGCACGGCCTCGGAGAATGCCAGTCGGCAGACAGGCGCAAACGCACGGTCGCTGTGTGCCGAGGTGGTGGGGAGTCCGCGTATGTGGGCGTGTGTGTTTGGGTAAAAAATTTATGAAATCTGAGATTCAGAGAAGGGATGTTGGCTTACATACTAGAATATGACTGAAAGGAGCCGGCTGATTGAGCTGTGGGGACTCGGTGTACGTTCTGGAAGGTGCTCCACATGTTTTGAGGAAGCCCTGTGGCATTCAGGCTAACATCAGGCCCAGGTGTGTAACGGTAAATTGTTTGGGTAGCACTTCCAATTTGAAGAAATACAGGCCCGATGGGAAATTCTGAGCCCCAGTATACGCTAGGGTATCCATGCCCCTCTGATGCCCCTGGGCCACACGGGCAGGACCAGGTGCAAGAGTCAATTGTTGTGTACCCCCCCCCCCCCCATCTCCTTTAATGCTGGCATTTTGGTAGATGGGGGGGTGGGGGGTTTGCCCTCCATGACCCATGGGAGCAGAGATGTGGCCGCCGTTACTCTGAAAAGTTCACCTTCATTTACATATATATTTGCATATTCATCAGCAGGGAAAACCAAGGACAGTCTTCGCTGTGGAAATGTCACTAACGAAATCACGGGAGATGGGCATTGGGCAGGCTGCAGGCGTTATTACTGCGTGTGGCCTGTTGTGGGGGGGGGGGGCGTCGGGGGTGCTGCCCAGATTGGCTACCTGCTGATACCATGGCGGAGAGCAGCTGCAGGCTCCACTGCAGGCAGGGAATTATGTTGAGATGTTAGTCACCGCAAACAATATTTACAGAAAGAGCAGTGTGTGTGTTGACACACGTGACACCAAGCTCATACCAGATATTCCATAAAAGCTGCTTTTTGACAGTAACTCGTTGTCCCATTCTTTGTTTGGCCATTTTAATTGTCACTTTTTTATGTTAAAGTCTTTCCAGATTTATGAGATTTATTTTGAATGTGCACCTTCATGGTTTTTTATAAGGTCCGAGTTTCTATCTGGACGGAGAAACCTAGGGAATATTTTTCTTTTCTCTGAGAAGGAAAAGTCATAAATATTGCAATGTCAAGTGGAAAACAGCATGCTTTGCTGAATGCAGGGGAATTTTAAGTAAAGGAAGATCACAGCTTCTTTTAATTTTCGCAGCGCGTGTTAGTCAGAGCTAGTTGGGGGTGTGTTTTAGTTGGACTGCTGACTTTGTAAACATTGTCTTCTGGAACCCCGGAGCAGTTCTTTCGAAACAGACCCGGATCAGGCAGGAGTCAGTTACTTGTGGATGGTCCAGATAACACCTCTTCCTTTTACGGTCACAGAAAGCTCTGGCATTCCCAGAAGCAGGAGGAAGAAGGGGGGGGGGGCATATTTCAACTGGCGTAAACACTGGATGCCACTGGGCCGTTACGTTCCTCTAGAAAGGGGTACAAAAAAATATATATGTGGAAAAATGGAAAGAAATGTGCCAGGTGGTGACAGAGCAGGCTGGTTCTGCTCCCTCTGCCTGGGCACGATGAGGATCTATCATCCACTGTTGTCTAGGGTTAAAACGGGGTCAAGACTGCCCCATTGACCATAAATAAGACCATAAATCAGAGTTACAGACTAACAGCCAGCCCCCAGACGTTTTATCATCGTTACAATGTTTCATGAAATGCTCTGGAGAAGGGGCCACTGGCCCTGGACCATGTGGTAGGAGATTTACTTCCACAAAGGGCTCTGTTTGCATGGTGTGATGTTGCACTGCGCCTGGGGGGCCAGGGGGCAGCACGTGGCAAGCCTCACTCGTGTGTCCCGGCAGGAGACGCCTACGACGTCTGTGCCATCTGTCTGGAGGAGTATGAGGAGGGCGAAAAGCTGCGGGTCCTGCCATGTTCACACGGTGCGTACCTCTCCTTGCCCTTCCAATAATTCCACATGTGCTACAATGTCATTGACCCACGTCGCCCCCCCCCCAGACGTCATGAGACACGGTTATGAATAGAAATGAACCAGCTTGTCTTTGGCCTTAATGACCGATTCAGAGAGTTGTGGGAAACGCTCTGTGAATCTTTAGAACAAAGCTGTTTGGTTTTAATCAAAAACCAAAATAGGGGCTGGTAAGTTCTGGTCCAGAAAGTAAAAGTTTAGATCAAGATTTTGTTTCAGTGAACCAATTGAGTACTCTGACTCTCTATATTCAAGTGGTTGGTTGAAACAAAATCTTGGTCTGGACTTTCGATCAGAGGTGGATAATTCAGGTCCAGAGAACAAAAGTGCGGAGGCCTGTCTAGGTCTAAACCTATTATCTGTGTTCTAGTGCATTCCGAAGATCATCTCCAGATTTCATCTCGGTGTTCTGTCACTGCAATGATCAGCAGTTCCATGTTCTGCAAGCTTAAGTTTCTATCTTTTGTTGGCATGGCCCCCTGACTTTTCATAGGGTATCGTACTATTAAAATGCAAAGAAATGTAACTGCAATCCTTCGATTCGTTAGCATACCACTGTAAATGCGTGGACCCCTGGCTGACCAAGACCAAGAAGAGGTGCCCGGTGTGCAAGCAGAAGGTGGTGCCCTCCCAGGGCGACTCCGAGTCCGAGTCGGACGAGGCGGACAGCGGACATGAGGAGGAGATGGTGTCGGAGAGCACGCCACTGCTGCACTCCCGTACCGCGGCCGGGGGCCCCTCCTTCGGGGCCGCCGCCGCCTCACAGTCCCAGCCTGCACCAGACCAGGAGTCCTCCGACGACGCGTCTGAGAACTGCGACAGTGAAAAGGGAGGGGGGGAGGCGGTTGCCGTGGAGACGGTGGTCGTGCAGCTGCAAGAGAACCACTCGGAAAACAGTGCTCCACATGCTTGATGTATATATATTTTAACCAATTTTCTTGGTGTGAAACAGATTCTGGTGATTGTTTCTCCCTCCACGTTGCAGTGCTTATCACAATGCCTGTGCATATCACAGCCTGATACAACTGTTCTGATAAGGCCCAAGAAGGCCTAGTGCTTTATGGTACCTGCCCTTCAGGGTTTCCATGACAAAACGGGCATCGGGTGTGACACCAGGGGAGAGAATTCATCTGAGTGTTTTCACTGTGAAAGGAGGGCCAGACAGTGCCACTTTTATAATGCGTTAATCTTGCATTTCAGAAAAATGTGGCATGTACATATCTGTACAGATCACAATATAAGCAAACACCAATTTGTATATAAGGGTTCACTTTTTAAACCTATCTAGTACGTCACTTCGCCAGATCAAGGGGAATTCTCAGTTGTGATAAGTGTGGAAATATGACTTCCTGCATTAGTCTTAAAATTCTATGCAGATTTTGTAAAAATGTGAGATTATTTCATATTTGATGTATAAGTAGGATATTAAGAGCCAGGAATCTGATGGAGCCACTGTTCCTTCAAGGGTTTGCAGAATGAAGTGATCGGGAAAACAGAAGGTTCAGATCCTACAGTGGGTGTGATTGTAGTGTGACATCAGAACCCGGTTATCACTGGGTCAGATCAGATCGTGGATGACAATGCAGTCCCACCCACCACAACTGGAAGTCAACCTCATTTTCAGCCATCAAATAACCTCAGTGGTTGCTCTGAAGATTCTAACATCCATCTAAAGATGAACAACTTGACGCAAAGTGCTTTTGATTTTTATCCACGAACCGCAGTACGTTTCCTGTGCATTTAACACACTGGACTGTTAAATTCATACTATATAGTCAGGTGTTATGTTGCCCTTGTTGACCACGTGTAATAACATTTCGCTTAAACCAGTAATAAAAATTTGAAATCTTGATTCTTGAATGAGTTTCCTCAGGATGGCACTGTGACCTCACAACTCCAGGACAGTTTAGTCCCTGCTCCCATTCTGTATGCAGCCTACATGAGTTTTCTTCCATGGTCCCAAGGGGTGGGTTGGGTACATCACAGCCAGGGTGTATCCTGTACCTCCTGGGACAGACACTGGAATCAGTTCTTGGGAAACGAATGCAATTCCGATAAGGAAGTCATGTATACCAGATTCATCTCAACACCAAACGGAAAGAATGCAGAATGACTTGGCTGTGTATAATGTAGAGCAATAAGGAAATGCATGCTGACAAAAACCACATTAACGAACTACATCTCCCAAGTCCTTGAATATTCATCTGTATTTCATAAAGGTCACCTTTCTGTGATGAAACCTCTTGTGGAAGTCATTTTCAAAAGGTCGCTCCTTTCACCAGCAATTGCTTTTGGTCACAGTTCTCTCCCCACTCCATTCTTGTGCTCAATACATGCAGTGCTATTCCTGCCTCTTCACGACAGTAAATATTAAACTGCAGCCAACATTCATGCCAATGACAGTAGAAGCCAATGCCACAGCCATGGATATAATCCAGATATCTCTGGGGAGTCACTACTGATACATTTCCATGCGTCAATTTTTGGGTTATTGCTTTTGTGTTCAGACGACAAATAATGCAAGCAAGTCGTGGAGAAGAGGGATTAGCCCTGGTCTTCCTGTCCAGGCAATGATCTTTGATCCCTCTTTGTTCATTTTGTGTATCAGTGAAGACAAAAGGCAGTAAAAAGGATACAAACACTGCCTTAAAAATTAAAAACTGACACACAAAAAAACGTATCTGGCTGGAATAAATTTATTTGATCTGTCTGTAAACAAGGTGTCATCAATTTATGGCATTTTAATGCATATTGAATCAGACGAGTTAGACTATCCAAGATGTAAGAAAGTGTAGGGAAAGAACATAAATCAACAACAAGTTTTGTTTTAATCTGTACATATTCCACAAGGCCTGAAAATGTTCAGCTTATGCCAAATTACCCCCTAAGGAAGTCTTATTCAAATGACTCCTTGCTGGACAGCAGTTTAAATCCATCTCACAATAGCAACAGATCACCTCTCTACATTATGGCACAAGACAGATTGTGTAGTAAGTTCCCACAAGACAACCAAGTGTTCTTATTCCAACCAATACCATCTCCCATTAAGTGTACACAGTTATACTATTCTGGGCGTTTTCCTTTTTATTGGACATAAACATTTAGTACTGCACTTTGACAGACTGATTCCACATCTTAGTAGATGACTAGAGCACAAGGCAATTTCTTCCACAGTTTTGTTCTCCACAGTGTGGGCTTACAGAACAAAATGCAATTCATTTCAAACATTTTTTCCAACACTTGCTGACAAATAAGGAGACTGTTATTCCATCTGTTTTACTCAAATTGTAGTATCCATTACTGTCTTTTGATTAGAGTATTAAAAGTTAGAGTTCTGTAGACAGCAAAACAGATGAAACTAGTAGTCATCCTTTACACTTAGAGTAATTCTGTAAATCCCACAAGCTGCAAATAAAATTGGTCCTATGAAAAAAATTCAAACTGGACACACTCCAGATGGCTGTGTTGGGATACATCAATTGTCCAAAATGGCAGCCTTTCAACATAAAAAAAAAGTTTATATTACAGAAGCTGGCAAACAAAGGTTAAGTGCCTGAGCTATTATAACGGTGGAATGTCCATGGAGATGTAGTCAGGGATGTAAAGAAAAGGTCACGGGGAGTAAAACACCTGCATCACAGCAATGCTGGTTTGCCGTTACACTCTGAATAACGTGGCAACCTGACAAGTAACTAAGACAATGTTCATCAGCAGAAGCATCCCATGCAGACTACTGCAACTCTGGGTGTGTCTGTATGTGTGTGGTGGGGAGTGGGGGTGTTACTGAAGTAAAGCATCTGATGGAGTGTTGCAAACAGGCAGGAAAACGCTGAAATGACAGAAATTTCAGCTCAGGAGATGGTAGAAGTAGTGTTTGTATGTATGGGGGGGGTTATTGTAGTAAAGTTTATGATGGAGTGTTGCTAACAGGCAGGAAAACACTGCAATGATACAGATTTCAGCTCAGGAGATGGCAGAAGTAGTGTGTGTGTGATGGGGTGTCAAAGGAATGGGGAAAAAAAACTTCAGAAAGCAAACATATGCATGCAGTTTTCCCTCCCAGACAAGTTCTAGAAAAGGAAGACTATATGAGCTTGGTAATCGCTCAAAAGGGATTGATCAGTTTAAGATTGTACTACCAGCACCTTCCCTTGTCAGGTCTATGTTTACCTAAGAAAGCGCCCAAACTGGTATTTAATCAGATTTTTTTTTTCTCAGTTTCCCCAAATTTTTCAATTTTTTTTTTCCAACCCTTTTTATTTTGCAATGTCACAACAACATGCTTATTTTACCACGGTGCAACAGTAGTGCCAGAAAAATGGAGTTGAGTAGGCAGTGTTAATGCGTATCAATGAAGGTGGACACAAGGGAGGAAAGGATGAGGGGGGGGGAGGGGGGGGGTGTCGCTGAAGAGGAGAAAAAACAAGCATCTACCAACTATGTCTGGTAGTACTGTCAACACAATAGGTGGATGATAATGCGTCGCTAGATGGATGGGGGAAGGGGAGAGGCAGCTTAATATCCAGACTTCCTCAGGTACTCAGCCATGTGAAATGCTTTCTTGTTGAGTTGCCCACCATGGACACCTTGCTTTCCCATGACTAAAACCAACGCTGGAGTACACAAGGGAACAGAAAACAAAAAAAAAGAAAAAAAATGATCAAAACTGAAAATAAAAACAAGTCTTTCCCCACTAACACAGGGATTAAAAAGGTGACATGAGATCTTACCCCCATCACCCCTTCATTGCTATTAATTTTTCCAAGACGTTAACTGCTTGAAGGGGAAATCTTAACAGCAATCTTTTCTTCTTTTTGTCCCTATATCTACTCAAATCAGACTAAACTAGAACCCTGAATCCCTCAAGTATTTTGCCATTGAGTATGCCTTCTTATTCAATCCGCCTCCGTGGACCCCTTCTTTGCCCATTACAAGAACCAAGACTGGAAGAAAAGAGATAGAAAGAAGAGTTTAGAGAAAATGTGCGCGGTGAAATTAGAGCAAAAAAAAAAAGTACCCAGAAGTTAAAGCGGCTGTTCAACCCAAGATGCTGGCAGGATGTGTTAGTTCATTTCAGGCTTAAATCACCAGAGTAGCCCCCACTTCGGCATTCACTTTTCCCCTCCAGTGCATTTATTCCAACACGCTTATGAGTTTCCTACCATAGCGGCCTTGCTGCTAATGACTGGGATAACTGTCGGTATGCTGACACTGCAGGAAAACTTGGTGCCGTGATAAGCAGAGACTGATGACACTATCGTCTGGACCGAGGTATCTGCAGCGAGAGCAGCCCCGCACAAGGAAGCTTCCAAATGTAGAATGCCCTCCGATTTTCAATTCACCAGGAGAAAGAGGGAATGGGGGGAAAATCCCAAGCAGCAAAAGCATATACAGCTACATCCCAAACGCCTGGAGGGGGAGGCAGATTCCCTTGACTTGCTGAATCATTTTGATGTAGAAGAGCCCAGTAACCCAACAAGCAGCAATGGCAAATACAGACCTTGCTAGCTGGCACCGATAGCTCTGTAAAATGTGCTTATCTACAGCAGGCCTCCCACAGCTGCAGAAATTCTAGGTAACTGGTAAGAATCATGCAATAATTATATCCATCTAATTATTTGCCAAATGTGAATTTTCTAGCAATGAGTCACCTACAGGAATAACACCACACAGGAAAGTCATGCCATGAAGTAAAACACTGGGCACTGTTCTTGGGACTGCTGTGCCTCCAGTCTACACTAGAACAACTGCCTGAACGAGCCTATAAAACAACAAATGCCAAGAAGGGAAGCACTTCTGCATATTCAAACTGCCCCCCCCCCCCAGAGTCATGGGCATGCCTTATAATATCAGGTTTCAAACACTTTTGGGGACCATAGGAGTATCCTGATTCATGTCTGGACAGAGGATGGACTTAATGTCTTAAACGCTTAAACTGACAAACTCATACATCCACTAAATCTATTCATTATAAGTTTTGCTGCAGGGTCACGGGTTTAGAGTGTGGATCAACTACAGTGTATAAAACATATCTTCTGCTGTGATGCCCTTGGTAAGGTGGTAGCCTATGATATGCTCAATTACACCCCCAACTTAAAACCCAAAATGGGTGGAAGTTCAATTAGCCTGGTGCATAACAGTGTTCACACACTACACAAAGTGGAGCTATCCCCCAACAATCCAATCAATTTTTTTTGCCAATTCCCAATTGAGAAGTGCTTCCTTACACATGAGTTAAAAAGTGAATGCCAAATTTGCCAAAGTGATATTTAACAAGTATATTTGTGCCCCTTTCCTCAATACATGTAACATGACATGTGATATTACAGAATGTAAGCTTTTACAAAGCATCCATAAGAGAAACCAGTTCATTCCTGTGCAGAAAAACGACAGTTAAGCTTCGGTTTTAAACAAAAGAAAAAATGTTAATTGCAACAGCACAAGCATGCCAAGTGTCAAAGCAGAGTTACCCCACCTAGCAAAGAAGGGAATGATTTTAGGGTTGCTTCTGAGGGGAAAGGGAAGAAATCCCATGTCCCATGCACCTCAGAGTGGAATGATATCAAAGACCCCATCATTAACAGATTAAGAAAAATCTTGGCAAACAAACTGGAAACTTGTATTACCACGATGTTCAGAATGGGGACCATACAGGCATAAGATGGTAGGCGTCTGCAATGTTACCATACTTAAATTTCTAGATGGGATGTAAACCAAATCCATTTTGAAACAACTCAATAGCGCAAACTGTCACATTTCAGAAAATGACAACTAAGGCAAAATACATTGAGCAGCACAATAATTCCCAATTCTACTTCTGCATGCCGTTAACTTATGTATTTCCTTAAGAGTATCACAAAATGACATAATAAAGGCATTTGTTAGTGTTTCACAAGGGTATATAGGCACAAAAAAAACATTCATATTCTGATTGAGGAAAGGCTCATAAAGTGCATCAGGATGAATTCAACTACTTTAAAAACCAGACATGTGTCACATGTCATAATACCTGAACCGAACTGATTACTTATTACCTGAGGAAATACATACCTCTGCCAGCTCTGCCTACAGAAACATTGTATGTTGGCTCTCCAGTTTGACTCTTTGTCCTGATGTCCATCGTCCAATCTCCATCAATTAGAAGGCTGTCTCTGATCACGGAGCACTTCTTCTGACCAAGGGTCAAACCGCTGGTGAAGAAACCTTCACGGTCTTTTCCTACTATGACATCAATTTCTTGAGGCTAAAACAGACAAAAAGAACAGTGAAATGAACTTCACATCTCTATTACATAAATACTGGATGTTTAATCAAGACTTCATACCTTTAAATTTTCAACAAGTCTTTTATAGACCGTTGTACAATTACATTTTTCACATAGCGATTCCGGCTGATAATTTTGTGACCACGTGGGGCTTACTTTAACGCTCTACTAGCTAGATATTTATTCCCGTTATTCATAAACGATGCAGCCAGCTGCTTTCAATATAGAATCGAAACTGTCGCAGTGGACGTGGAAACTACCGGCGAGTTTGTTACATTTCTTTGTCTAGAAATGTAACACACTTTAAGGCGTTGTCCTCAGGAAGAACTGCAGAGTCATAGCAGGCCCCCTTCCATTGGAAGAAATGCAGTGCTTGTAGACATGGGGCTGTGCAATTTTTGCATCGGCAAGATGGTCAACGTTAAATGAAAACGATGACCTACAATTTCCTTTTTAAGGGGCTAGTAAGCTAGGTAATATTGGGCAACATTAACACTGTTCATCGGCTTGTGAAATTGATAGAAATAGCTAATTATTCGCCACATCTGACTAGCTAGACATTCAATCAATCAATATGAGGTTCACAGGTTTCTTTCAAACCATGTGCGTGCCTTACAACAGACCTAATGTCAATGGATAAGATGCCACGTTCCTTTAATTCCGCGCGGGCTTGAGACAATTTAATCCACCGTGTTTAACACTGGTAGCTTCGTCGCCACGTAACGTCGTCTAAGGCGGCAGACAGCAAGCTAACTGCGGCTAACCAGCAACCGTCCTCCCTTATAAAATGGAGGACTGAATTAATTTTCACGCACTAAGATATGACATCCAATACCAATATGCAGATACCCAAAGGGCCCGTGGCGAAGACGATCGAAAGTTTGTGCTAAGGGAAAAATGCGGCTATCCAGTAGCGGTGCAGAAATCTAAAATATCAAGATGAATGCAACCAATGAGGGAAGGCGCCATCTTGGGATACATAAAGGGGGCGGCAGCGACCATGGTATTCTCGAAGGCGACTAGGCACCATGAGCTGGTGTATGAAATCATCCACATGCGTTCGTTACGCTACTTGCGTACCGAATAACGGCCGGCCTGATTTTATTCTGTGTTCTCACGGCGTCGTCACCCTTCCAAACCCGCATTGCCGGTCACTGATACAAGTCACCAGCTAAATGGCTAATCACGTATAATACATCAACGGGACTCGTAATAAAAACAGGAGCTAGGTTTTCCTAAATGAAACAGCTCTACGAGGCTGAACACCCGGTATTTCCTAACATTCCTGGGAGCGAGGGGGAAAATCGAGCAGGTGTTTATAACGGTTTTCCCAACACTTACCTCAGGGAGATTAGCACGCGCGGTAGCTAGCTAGCTAGCTACATTTTCACCACACGATAAAGGCCGGCCGTGACTCACAACCCAAAACTTTATTTTTCCCCCATAACATCTTGCTAGTCAGTGGAGTTAAACAGCTATAAAAAAAATATATTACTTCGTGCACTATACGAAGTCCCTGTCTGAAATGCTGCCAAAGTAACTCAGAATAAAGTCTCAGCATGCGTCTAGCCTAAAAATATTACCAGACTGGACAGCCCCGCTAGGCAAGGCCCCATCTTTTATCTTTAATGACAACCTTTAATTCATTTGCGTTACTGCTCGTTCCAGCATACGACGACGTACAGCTCCCACACAATTCTCTTACCGTTATATTGTTAAAAGTACCGCCGGATTGTGCTGCCCAGACGTATTTGGCGTCAGTGTACCCAACAATGGCGGAATCCTGGCAGCTGCCGTCGGCCATCAGGTTATCCACGTAGCCTTGCCAGGACATATTTACGTTTTTTTTCTTAATTTACAAATTTCTATTTAAAAACCTCAAATTAAGATTACTGGGTTGTAGTGCTGCGGACGATGTAAATATAGCTTAGCTAAACGGACTTAACTATAGTGTTTCTATGTGCAGCCACGGCTATAGCGCGACCCCCGGTTAAATCTTAGCCTGAGCAGCGAAAGAAAGCCGAAGTGATGGGGCAGCGCCTGGATGTAGCCCCAGCCGAATCACTCCGCGCGGCCGTGGTGCGGTTCACGCGCTCATACATACGCGCAGTATTGGCGACGGGGGCGGAGGAATAAACGGTGATAAATCAAAAGAATAATCTGGAGGACGCCTCGTCAGTCTGCGCGACAACTAACTACGATCCACGCTTTTAATTATTATCACTATTTTTTTTTTATTTTAGGACCACATAAAACAGCTCACACGCGCCGATCTTTACCCTAAACATGTTTTGCATATTAATAACTAAGACGTTACTGTCAATATCTGAGTGCTTCATAAAAGCGTGGTTTGACTAACCTAAATGTGTTGCACGGGGTAATGTTTTTTTAAGTTTGTCATCCAATTGAAAATGCAAATAATAATCGGGAAGATGCCGTACTAAATTATGGGCGGTGGCAGCGTGGGAGGGGCGCGTCTACGAAGAATAAATCGTGTTTGCGGATTCACTGAACGACTGGCTGGCAATTTATCACAGACAATGACCAAAAAGTTGACAAATTTTGTATATATATTTCAACTCTGGGAGACTCTGGTCTTCTTTTTTTCTGTCAGTTAGGCTAGATATAACTTTATTGCAAATTAAATTGTGGGTTTGTAAGAGATTATTTAGAGTTGACCGATAATAATAATAATAAAATTATTGAAAATAATAATAAAATAAATCTTAATAATAATCCAGATATCGTGGTCATTCATTAATAATTATGGTCGTGGTTATAAATTTATGGTATTGTTAATTATTATTAGGCAGCGTATAAATAAACGTCTGAATAGTTCATTATAAGAATCTTTTTGTGGGTTTATGTTACCTTGGACTACCGACCCGGTAGACTGAGAGGCAGAAATGAGTCAGATATATTTAGTTATATCTCTGGCAACACCAATGCTGTTTGATGTAACAATAGTACATAAATTTTGTTCAGTTTTGAACGATGGTCTACACATTTATTCTACAAATCTTTGAGATGTTAAATTGAAACACTGGAAACAACCATTACATTGCTGGGCTCAATGTTACGCATAGATCAGTCCCAGGAACAGTTTTTAAGTGGCTAATTAGAATTGTTGTGGTAGTTATTGTAACTATTTGAAGAAAGCATTACCACTTTTATTACCCATCCATTTGTCCTTCCATCCATCATGGAACCACTTATGCCGGTCAGGGTTGTGGAGTCTGTCCCAGGCAGAATAGGGCACAAGGCTGGGGTATGCCAAGGACAGGATGCCAGTCCAGAGGCACCTTGCACCAGAACATGCAAACTCCACACATGCAGAGCAGAGATTCAAACTCCTAACCCTGGAGATATGAGTCACCATGTCATCCTGAGGTATTAAGCAGTAAGGAGTGTGTGCTGATACAGCATGGTGCCATATCCACCACACGGCAATACGCCTCAAAGATGAGAGCTGGAGTGCAGCAGGTGGTACCTCAGCACTACTTCAAATGGATGGAACAGTGTGAAGTTTTTTTCCAGGGGCTGAAGTGCCAATCCTGCCACCAACCCCCAAATTTACCCTGTAAGTTGGAGGACCTGCTTACAGGGCTGGATGTAGATTAATGTTATATCCAGGGTGGAGCAATAGCAGGTTAAAGACCTTGCTCGGGTGCCCAATGGTGTAGTACTCCTGGCATTCACGGGATTCAAACCAGCAACCTTCTGATTGCTGGGGCAGATCCATAATCTCACCCCCACCACTCTGTCACCCTGCTGTTGTTGTTGTTTTATAACATCACCATAAATTGCATGCATATCTTGACATTACTCTCTTGTACATTCTAAGTAATTACTAGTGCCATTGTAAAAGGGAATAATCCAAAAGAGTCAATAAGAATAACAGTGAAACAATAAAAACAGTGAATGTATTTAAAAAAAAAAATACATTTTAAAGGCCATATTTTAACTTTCTTGGCATTTAACTTACAGACAGGCATGTGGTGTATAGGATCCTTTGACCCAGGCAGCAGGGGTGGATCTAAATGGTAGCCCCCCCCCCCCTTAGAAAATATATGGCCGCCCCAGTTGTCACCCCACATCAATAAATGTGGACTGATCTGCCAGCATTGATCCCCAACTTTTCCTGCACCGATTTTGTCCCCCTGCTGGGGTCAGACACTTTTACCACTGGTCACCCCCATAAATAGAACTGCTGTTTAATGGCCACCCCAGTCAAAGCCTTTCTACAGGCACCACTGCCAGGGAGGACAAGACATTGGTACAATGTCCCTGCCACCATAAGGGCTGCCAGTCTGGTCTTGCAACATTGCCAGTGGGCACACATCATGCATGAACGGAAGGGCCCCCTACCCTAAATGTTAAAAACAAGGATATAGTTACCAGTCCCACCTTTTATACTCATCACAATAAATACAGCCTGCAGAGACACATCCTGATGTTGGATCTGAGCTCAGTATCTCCTATCAGCTTGCATCCAGTTTCATTAAAGACTGAGGAATGACAGCGAATGGGCCGCGCTGTTCAGATGGGCTTTGTTGAGTCTTCTCACCAGCAGTTACTGGGAGTCAAGACACCTGCTGAATCCATGTACAGCACAGCATCACCCATTATGCTGGACCCAGTCATGTTAAAAATAAAAGCTTTGAATGCAAGAACGTCGACATTTATAGGCTACACCTGCACCTGTTTTAGCCTCCATTCAGCATAATCACAGTCCTCTGCACAGTACTGCACTCACCAAGTAAGCCTAGCTGCTTACTATAGCAATTAAGAAAAGGCTGTTTGAGTTCTTCCACTGTTTGATATGTGAAACTGGGAATCTTTCTGGGCATCAAACAAATTTTCCATCATTATACATTTTCAATCAAGCACATTCATGTACCCCAATGCTAGCAACCTTGCACTATACCTGAATATTGAGAATATTGGGATAAGCGGTAAACATAAAAATGTGTTTTTGGTGATGGGAGAACTTCTTTTTTGTTGGGTGATATATTTTGATTGGTAAAAAATAAAAAATAAAATTCTTAAAGCAAAAGCTGGATTGATCAAAAAGAATGTCTTTATTCATATTCTGAATTATTTCTAGATATTTACTTAGATATTATGTAATTTTGCTTGATTCCCCGATTCTACAAAGTGTATTTAATAATCAGTCCACCTCATAGGCTTCTTACATGATTTTCTGCGTTTTGAGAACTCAGTTCACATAAATAACACTTCTTGGGATCAGCAAAGATTTTCTGTGGAGAAATGTCTTTAAAAAGAACATTGCTCTTTTGGGTCTGGATAATTTTTCAAGGAAGTTCTACTTCCTTGGATAGTATTAGCAGTCAGGAAAAAAATACTGTTGTTTTATACCATAACCACAATTTGAATTCTCAAAAAGAATGCATTAGCCATGAAAAAAGTTATACTTTTAAAATGCAAATAAAAGCATTTTATCAAAAAAGAAACAGAATCTTACTTTAACTGCAGGACATTTTCATTGCATTGAAATCTTACTTAAGTTTCACGCACGCCCTTCTCAAAAGGCTTCTCATCCAGCTGGTAGCGGAACATTTTCAGCAGGAAACTTTTCGGCTGTGAATTTAACCGCATGGCAGGAAGTGATATGCACTGTGGGGGGAGTATGGTGCCAATCAGGTTCCCCCCCCCACTCTCCCCCACCCTGTTCCTACTACTTCATACTTCTAGAGACGCAGCTGCTGACATTGTGAAGGTTCCCTGCCACTAGGGAGAGGTCGTAATCCGGGTCGGCGGTTTAGTTACATCGTTACTTTAGAAGGGGGTCTGCTGAAGACAGATTCTGAAACAAAGGAGGACTTAACTCTCCTGGTCTTCTTTTTCTGTTATCTTAAAACCTTTGGTGCATCAAAAACCTTATCTTTGCTATAAACATTCTTGGGTCATCAAAAAGCAAGGTTATCTGGGGCATTTAGCTGTTAACTCTACTTATCACCTAACTTACATCTATGCCTCCCTGTTGTGTAGCTTCTGTCTTGTATTCATTCTCCGTTTGTTGATTGTTAGTTGTCTATTGTCACGGTGTCTGCAACATTGTGGCAATAAAGGCTCTGATTCGGATGAAACCCTGGGGATTTGGGATGGCTCTCTGTGATGCTGCATGGCATCAGCTTCATCCACGGTCACAAGGCTCATCCGTAGCTCTTCATTGTTTTAATTGCTTAAAAAGTTTCAGGTATATACTGAGTGCTAAGAGGGAAATTTTTCACCGTGTGCTGAAGCAGGCATTTCTTTGCAAGCTTGATACTTCATCAAATTTAAACTTGGTTGGTCAGGAAATGCACTTTTGTAAAACTTTTGGGCTTTTGCCATTTCCCTGCTTCACCAAGTTATGCAACTGGATGTTTTCCTGAAGCCATACAGGTTAAATTCCAGTTAGTCTTCAGAAAAGTTAATCTTCATTCAGAACTGTCTTCAGAACAGGCTCTGCCTGCTTCTCCTTGGAAAGGGCCTGAAGTGAGGCACCAGTGGGTTTGATACATGAAACACCATGAGCTGCTAAGATTTTGCTAATGCTAATTCTATTTTTAAAACCATAGAATAAGCCATACATATGATTTTTCAATGGACAATTACAGGCTACAGCACGACAATCCCCTTTGTCTATATTGCCGTCGGGAAAATAGAACAAGCAAAATGCAGTAGAATTGCCACTCAGACATAAGTGTCTTAAAATGAATGCATTTCGATTAGTGCAACTTAATAATAATGCAATTTATCTGCACAGAGTGCAGCCTTATTTATATGGAATGAAGTTCTTGTTCTTGGAATTGCTAATGGATTCGATGGCAGTGTCTCTTGAAAAGCAGCAATTTGCCTCCTTTTGCTAAAAACTCACAACATCATTATTAACCCCCCCCCCCCCACCCCCACAAAGCTCCTTCCCTCTCCCACCTTGATCGTCTTACTTGAACCGCACTCAATGTACTCCGAGTACCTGGAATATCAATATATAAATAAGGTTAAGATTAACATCACTCTCCTCTATGCCTAATTGGAAAAAAATGCCAGAATATTCAATGGGAAAATCTATTCATCTTAATTATGGTAATACATTAT